CATACCTGTCAGAATGGCTAAAATCAACAACTCAAGAAACAAGTTTTGGAGAGGATGTGGAGAAAAATGCACTGTTAGTGGAAATGCAAACTGGTGCAGCCACTCTGGAAAACAGTATGGAGGTTCCTCAAAAAGTTAAAAATAGAACTACCATACAATCCAGGAATCGCACTATTGGGTATTAACCACCAAAAAACAAACAAAAAACCCCACTAATTCAAAGGGATACATGCACTTCTGTGTTTATAGCAGCATTATTTACAATAGCCAAATTACGGAAGCAGCCCAAGTATCCATCAGTAGATAAATGGATAAAGAAGAAATAATGTATGTATATACAATGTAATATTCTTCATCCATAAAAAAGAATGAAATCTTGCCATTTGCAACAACATGGATGGAGCTAGACAGTATAATGCCAAGTTAATTAAGTTAAAGACAAATACCATATGATTTCACTCATATGTGTAATTTAAGAAACAAAACAAACAGGGCACCTGGGTGGCTCAGTTGGTTAGGCGACTGCCTTCGGCTCGGGTCGTGATCCTGGAGTCCCGGGATCGAGGCCCGCATCGGGCTCCCTGCTCAGCGGGGGGTCTGCTTCTCCCTCTGACCCTCCCCCCTCTCATGTGCTCTCTCTCTCTCATTCTCTCTGTCTCAAATAAATAAATAAAATCTTTAAAAAAAAAAAAAAAGAAACAAAACAAACAAGTAAAGGGGAAAAAAAAAGAGAGAAAGAGACAAACCAAGAAACATACTCTTAACTATAGAGAACAAACTGATGGTTACCAGAGGGGAGGTGGGTAGGGGGATGGATGAAATAGGTGATGGGGATTAAGGAGTACACCTGTTGTGATGAGCACCAGGTGTTGTATGGAAGTGTTGAATCACTATATTGTATACCTGAAACTATTATAACACTGTATGTTAACTATAAAATTTTTTTTAAAAAGTAAATAAGACTTGGGGTGCCTGGGTGGCTTAGTCATTTAAAGCGTCTGACTTTTGGTTTCGGCTCAGGTCATGATCTCAGGGTCATGGGATCCAGCCCCCTGTCAGACTCTGTGGCTTAGCAGGGAGTCTGCTTGTCCCTCTCCCTCTGCTCCTTCCTTGCCCCTGACACACCCTCAGCTTGTGCTCTCCTCTCTCTCAAATAAATAAATAAATATGATCTTTAAAAAAATTCTTAAAAAAAAATAAGACTTAACCACTATTTCTTGCTATCTCTAGAATATGTACTGTTTTATAATACATAATGTATAATAAAGAAGTATAATCTTTCTTTTCTTTTTTTAAAGATTTTATTTATTTGACAGAGAGAGTGAGAGAGAACACATGTAGGGGGAAAGGCAGAGGGAGAGGGGGAAGCAGACTTCCTGCTGAGCAGGGAACCCAATGCGGGGCTCTATGTAGGCAGGGCTCAATCCCAGGACCCTGGGACCTTGACCTAAGCCAAAGGGGGATGCTCAACCAACTGAGCCACCCCAGCATCCCTAATCTTTCTTTATAATAAAGAAAAAAGGTTTAAAAAAAGAAAAGGAATATAAGACAAGGTAGTCAAGGAGAGAGAGGGTGAAAGAATGAGTGTTTAAAAGAGAGTCAAGAGAGGGGCGCCTGGGTGGCTTGGTTGGTTAAGTGTCTGACTTGATCTCAGCTCAGGTCTTGATCTCCGGGTGTGAGTTCAAGGCCCATGTTAGGCTCCATGCCCAGCATGGAGTAAGGAGAAATGACCCCACACTTAGTATCTCTGGGTTTGTTATCTCACCTGCAAAACAAGAGGGTGAATAAGACTACATTCTAGAGAAATATTTACCTTGCTCGTTACCAATAGTTGGCATGAAAGATGCCTCATCATTTTAGACTTGGCCATCACATCATTGATTAGTCTACAGCAAATTTGCTGTCTTTGTGCTTTAATTTACATTTTAAAACCCACACGTCCCATAAAGCAAATGCACAGAGTATAAAAACTATTAGTAGAGCTAAGGGAATGATCCTATATGAATGAGAGCACTGATCAATTTTAAAAGACAGAAAGTGGTAAGAAAACAGAAATGGAATGCAAAATGGCCTGGCAGCATGCATGATTCCAAAGAGCAGCAACCAAATCATTCAAAAAAGGCCTTGTCCCCTGCAGCTCTGGCTCCTTACCTTCCCATAAGACTTAGCCCGACTATTCCTCCCCATTCCCTTGTATAAAATCCAAATCACGCAAACAATGGATGCTAATCTGTGAGAGCAATTCCTCCCTCTCCCAAGAGCCACCCTTGATCAACTATTTCTGACAGCAGCCGAACTTTGGCTGATCTGGCTAAAGTCCTAGGAAATATTTAGCCCTCCTGCCCCAAGCCAGATTCTCTTAAGGGCTTTCCTATGCCTGGCATTTTCAAATAAAAGGTTATGCCAACGGTGCCCTGGCTGATTTCTTCCCACCAACTATGTTGCAAAAATAAAGGGAGGGAAGTTGGAAGGGGTGGGATGAGAGAGCTATACCCACCCCTACAATAAGAGAAAGCACATAGATTCTGTCTAAAACTGATAAATCAAGATCAGCTACATATGCAAATTATTCGGCAATAGGGAGGGAAGTGATCAAACAGCCAAGAGCAGGGGGACTGTTGTTTTTGTTAGAATCTTTTATAATGCTCTAATTCATAAAATTAGATGATTATTTGATAACAAGCAGTTTTTAAAAGTCAAAACTTGTAATTTAAAGTAAAAAATTACAATTACATAATCAAGTGTGTCTATAAATTATCCCAGCTAAATGAGCCCAACAAATGGAGATGTAGGCTTTCTTGGTGACTACAGGACTGGGAAGACAGAATGGTGAGCTGCTCCGTGGCAGGCCTGGAGATGGGTGACTGGATGCAGTGGGCCAGCATGCGCCCAGATCAGGCCTCCCTCGGGTTCTCTGACATAAGTCAGAGGAGTTTGCTAAGTGGGATACCTGGGCTCTCTGGAAAAGCATCAAGCTCTCTGTTCTCCTTGGAAGATGAAGAGTTCTTTTTAGTTTCCTGCTCTCTATCTTGGTTTTGTGTGTCTGTTTCTGTGCAACTCTCTTTGCACCTGACTTTTTCTCTTTGACTCCCTTTCCCTTAATCTATGTATTTTCTGCTCACTGAAGACTCCCTTTTCCCTAGTTTTATTTTTCTCTCTAATCTTAAATTCTTCTCACCGTTCCTACCTTGTCTCTCTTCTCATCCTGGTTTTTCTCTAAGTCTTAGCTGCCCCTCATGTATTTTTGTCTCTCAATTTTTCATGTGGTTAGCTGAAATGACCTGAGTCTTTTGAATGCAACTTGCTCATCTGTAAAACTGGTTAATACTCCTCAGTATACTGTATAATACTGGCTGAGCTATCTTTGAAGTTCTTGGGAGAAAATAATTTTAGAAGCTGTGATCTGCTTAATTCAAATTGTAGACTATTGCCTTTGTAAGTAATTTGAATATTTTTTTCTCTTGAAATATATAACTTCAATTCTAGAAAACTTTTTTTTTTTAAGATTTTATTTATTTGACAGAGAGAGACACAGTGAGAGAGGGAACACAAGCCGGGGGAGTGGGAGAGGAAGCAGCAGGCTTCCCGCGGAACAGGGAGCCCTATGCGGGGCTAGATCCCAGGACCCTGGGATCATGGCCTGAGCGGAAGGCAGATGCTTAACGAGTGAGCCACCCAGATGCCCCTAGAAAACTTTTTCTAGAATGACAATAGGAAATGAAAACAATAGAATGAGGCTAATTTTATAAACAACTGGTCCTCTCAACAACTGAAAGAAATCAGCCAATGAATTTGAGGCTTTCTAGTCCTTACTGAAATACTACAATGAGATTCAAAGAATGAAGTTGGATTTCACATATTTTAATTTTTAAATTTCTCAAAATGAAACTATATATTTGGCTGAAAACATTAACCTACTGGGACGAAATGTTTTTTTCTTTTTTTAAAACTGTAAGTCTAGAGGTTTTCAAATTTTCCAGTCATGTGCCATCAATGTACAAAATTGATTTTACAGGATTCATTGCTCAGGAATTGTGGATGTATAAATAATTATGGTTCTTTATTTTTTATTTGTTTTTTATTTTTTTTAAATTTATTTGAGAGAGAGAGAGCACAAGAGGGGGTAGGGTCAGAGGGAGAAGCAGACTCCCTGCTGAGCAAGGAGCCTGATGCGGGGGTCCCTGGGGGACTCCGGGATCATGACCTGAGCTGAAGGCAGTCGTTTAACCAACTGAGCCACCCAGGCACCCAGTAATTATGGTTCTTTAAAGACACCAACATTTGCTAATGAAAGTATCTGAATGATGCCACTGCTGCCCCCAAATGAATCCATCTCAACTGAAACCCTAAAGCTTAAACCAAGAGCATAGAAGGCTCTATGGCCTACCTGTAGTTATTACCAGGAAATTTAGATTTCATACAAACCTGCCTTTATTTTAAATGCAGTTTAGTTATTAGAAAAAAGCACACACCTCAAACTAAAGATCCAATCCACATTTTTTCCTAACACAGAAGGAGGCCTCTCTGAAGGGTTTTCCAGGCTTACCACTGAACAGTGGTCAAGCCAAAAATAAATCCATGGAGGCAAATTCAACAGCACACAAAACAGGAGTCCACGGAGAGCAGGACTTAGCTTTTCCCCCATTCACCTCCTTCTGGGACCCCCACCCACATTCTTCCATCTCCCAATTAGAGAGCTAATTAGGACTCCAGATTTAAATGCTAAATGGGGAGGGAGCCTGGTGCCAGGCCAGGATTCCTTTAACATCAAACACTCTCCTCCTTCAGGCTTCTCCCCTTAGTGCAGTGCGCTTTGGGCAGAGAGCTGGGCCTGCAGGGCCGACTGGCTGCAGGGCAGTGTTTACACTCAGTTGTCTGAGAGGGAAGATTTGTCTCACAAATTGCAAACTCTGAAAAGATAAAATTTAAAAACAACATGCCCGGGCTTTTAGTACTTTAAGGAAAAGAAGCAAGTATCTTATAAGCTCAGTTATTATTACCATGGTGACATGAGGGGACGTGAGGAGATCTCAAGAACAGTTCCTGGTTCCAGCCAGGCAGCGTCTCAACGGTGCGGGGCGACTTCTTCGGTTACCATGGCAACCAAAATTAGAAGTGCTTTTGCAACACTAACAGAAACCAGCTTTTGAAGCGCTTCTGTGAATCACACTGAATACTGATGATGCAAGCTTGAGTGATACATATTTTTCAAACACACACACACACACCATATTGCCATAAACAAATATTCCTTTTAGATTCCCCCCTTGAAATCTTGACTTAACTTGGAATAGATTTTTTGGTCTGGTTCTGTTTGTTTCCCTTTTGGATTCCCGCGGTCTCAAGCGCAAACGCGATTTGTTTAATTTCCAAACTTGTCTGAATTGCACGGGGAAGAGCTCAGAACGTGGTTCATTTGCTCTCATTTTGAAACGGGATGAGGAAATGGGGTGGGGGAGGGTGGGTCTAACAGAGAGCCCTCTTGTCTACTAAACTCCGGAGGACGAAAACGGGGGGGAGGGGTGGGTTGGGGGTAGGGGCAGGAGAGGCAAGGAGGCAAAGGAAGAGGGAGGGAAGGAAGGGAAGAAATAAGTGCGGACGGCTGAATCTTTGCTGCCCTAAGAGCACCTTTATCTGTTCCCTTGACCTGTCCATCTGCCCAGGTGTTGTGTCAAAGCTGACCCGAAATGACATTTTAAAGACCCCTTTGCCATCCTTTCCTGGTCATCCTGACGCTCCTAATATTCCTGAAGGGACTTCGGGAAGAGGAGACGAGGTTCTTCCCTACTTGTGCAGTCTTCAAAAGAAGCACGGTTCTTTAGGGAGCGTCGTGGTGTGGGGTGTGCTGGGCACGGCCGTCCGCGGTCACTGCCCTCGCCGCCAGTCCCCAGCGCTCCGGACGAACTGTCCACACCTGGGCTCGCGCCCTGGGGCTCTGGTCCGCGCCAGGTGTGCGCCGGGCGAGGCGCGAAGCGGTCCTCCCGGGTTCCCGTGCGGGCGCGTGCACCGACGCGGAGCCCGTACCGCGCCGGGGCGCGGGGATACACGCGCGCCCAGACCCAGGAGCGCCACGCACCGCACAGGCAGCGGCCCGCACGCGCCGGCACACCCGCGCCTCCCGCTCCAACGCCCTCTGCTCGCGCGCGCCCAGCAGCCCGAGAGGGGCCGTCCCGCCCGAGCGCCTACCCTTCTCCTGACCCCAGCTCCCCCGCACCCCGCCCCGCCGGCAGTCGTGTCTCCGTTTCCCCCTCGGCTCGCGCGGGGCACGGGCGCCGCTCGCAGCACCCCCTTCCCCAACTCAGCAACCTGGCGGAGGACAGACAGGCGGGGTGTGGGTGCTGGCTGCGAGCCCCGCGGCCCTCGCTTACCTTCGTGGCGAGCCTGGCTCACGGGCTCGGCGGCGCCGGGCCAGGAGCTCCGAGCGGTTGGCGCTGGAGCGCGCGCCGCGCGGTGGGTGCGTGGCTGGCGGGCGCCGCGGCCGCGCGGGAGGTCCCTGGAGCTGTCAGGGACGGCCGACCTGACCGACAGCGGCCCCGGCAAACCCCGCCTGCTGGCCCCGGCCCGGGCTCTGCGGCGGGAGGGGGGGGGGAGGGGGGGGCACAGAGGCGCCCCGCAGCGTTTCCCGGAGGACCAATCGGGAGCGGGGGGCTGGCCCGGGGGAGGAGGCCTGGGGCCGGTCAGGCGCCGGGACGCGGGCCCGGACTTCATAGGCCGGTTTCTATGGCAGCCAGGAAGGGGGCGCTGGAGGGAGGTGGGTGCGCGGCGCGGGGACACCCATCGCGGACACTGGAGGAGGGGGGTTTGACCCTCTCGCAGAGAGAGTCCCTCCTACAGCATGGATGGGAAGCGGCGACACCGCCCAAAGAAGGTTGACACAGCTCTCGTCAACTCACGTCTCGTACTGAGCCGCTCGAGCCTCCTGATCAAGGGTTTCCGTGTCCTTGGGAGACCGCGACCCAGTAATCTTCCCAACAGAACGGGGTTTTCAGCAAACCACCGTGACAGCTCCTTCGGGTGAGTCTGGCAGGGTTTAGGCTCTGCAGAAAGAAGTGCTAATACCACCCTCTGCCTGGGTCCTCGCAGACATTATGTCCGGTTCCATTGGTACCACTTAGGCAGTGAATCCCTAATCTCCTGCCTACTCCCAAACTATAGCCTTCCCGCTAATGGTGGTGCCAAATATTTTCACAGTTTACCAACAGGGAAGCCAAGTCACTGAATTGAGTGCTGAGCAGGGAATGCGATTCAAAGAATAGTAAACGCATAGAGGTTATTTACTGAAGTTAAAGTACTTCATTTTACAGAGGAGGAAAGTGAGGTCAGAGAAGTCAGTTAACAAGGGTCACACAGCTTGGTTAATGGCAAAGCCAGGCACCCTAAGTCACAGCTCAGTGAGCACTCTTTCCACCTCATGCTCCCATATTCTGTGTTCCTGATTGCCAGGGTAATATTTACAAAAGCAAAAGTGCTAGGGAGACAAATAACTTTAAAATCTATTTATGGTAGAAATTAGGGAAGCCAAAGATTCCTTTTTTTTTTTTTTTGCCAGGCACTGTTACAAATACTTTCACAAGAGTAACTGATTAAATCCTCAGAATAACCTTATAAGTTAGGAATTCTTGTTACCATTCCTGTTTTGACAGATGAGGAAAGTGAGGCCCAGAAATGTTACTTGACTGCTGAAGGTCACATAGCTGTCCAGTGCTGGTGCTGGGATTCAAACCCAGGCAGTCGACTCCAGAGTCAGTGCTCTTCTTCCTTACCCTGCTGCCTCTTTGTATGATTAAGGGGTCCAGGAGCAGGAACAGCAAGAAATAAAACCTTGGATAGCTCCAGGGACTGGCCGTTGAGACTGGCAAGCAACCAAAACAACCTGGAATGATTGCTCCTTGGTTGATGAGAGTGGTTATCTCCTTGTGCAGGATAAAAGTTCTCTGTGAGAAAGGTTTGTCTTTAAAGGGAGGCCCTTTCCTAAAAAGACAAATGGGTTTTCTTTTTCTTTTTTTTTAAAGATTTGTTTATTTATTTGACAGAGAGAGAGATAGTGAGGGCAGGAACACAAGCAGGGGGAGTGGGAGAGGGAGAAGCAGGCTTCCCGCCAAGCAGGGAGCCCAATGTGGGACTCGATCCCAGGACCCTGGGACCATGACCTGAGCCGAAGGCAGACGCTTAATGACTGAGCCAACCAGGCGCCTGGTTTTCTTTTTCTTTTAAGAGTGATTTTTAAAATAGTACATGCCATCAGCTTTTTTTTTTTTTAAGATTTTATTTTTAAGTAATCTCTACATCCAAAGTGGGGCTCGAACCCACAACCCTGAGATCAAGCGTGGCATGCTCCACCGAGGTGGAACATTACTGAGCCAGCCAGGTGACCCTTGTTTTCTTTCTAAAGCAATAAAATACAGGGTAAGACTTCACATGTTTAAAAATATAAAATGCTCCTTGACTCCTATAACATCGCAACCTACAGGGTAGGAGTTCATAAGGAAATTGCCTAGAAGTCAGGATCCTCAAGCTCACAACCTAACATAGACTCTCTTGTAGACCCTTTCATCACGCCCCCATAGAGCACCATAGATGCTAGATTCTAGTGGCTTGGAAGGTGACTGAAGATTTTAGGCTATCCACAGAAAAGGAAAACTTCAGCATCAGAGACCACTTTCAAAGTCCATTGGCCAGACTCCATTCCAGGAGTCCCCCTTACCCCTATTTCTCTTGCAGCCATTCTGCTAGGGCCGGTTCCCTTTCAAATCAGAACCTTTCCGGGCTCCTGGGTGGCTCAGTCGTTAAGTGTCTGCCTTTGGCTCAGGTCGTGATCCCAGGGTCCTGGGATCGAGTCCCACATCGGGCTCCCTGCTCAGCAGGAAGCCTGCTTCTCACTCTCCCACTCCCCCTGCTCGTGTTCCTGCTCTTGCTATCTCTCTCTCTCTCAAATAAATAAATAAAATCTTAAAAAAAAAAAATCAGAACCTTTCCTTCATGCTTTCCCTTCCCTTGGAAGTCCTGGGATCCCCAGCCATATAGGACTGACTTCTATTTCAATTCCCTCCAGGTGAAAAAAGTGTCATTTTTCTTCTGGAAAGGGCCATTCAATAGGTTGATTACAATGTAGCAGTATACAGAAGTTAAAAATTGTTGTTTTGAATAGTATGGGTAAGTATTTTTCAACATATTAAGTGAAAGCAAAAGTTACAAAGCAGAATGATACAAATTTGTGATATATTTGAGTAGAAGGAAATGCACTAGATATTAGTAATGCTTTTTGTTACTTAATAGTTTCCAGCATTTTTTTCTTTTTTCTACAATGGGCATATGTGTCAGAAAAATTCTATTTTCAAAAGAACTGATGAAACAGTCAGACCTAGTCAATGTAGGTAGTCTCAGTTTTCTAACCCCTTCTCCATTGTGTTGGCAGAAAATAAGTCAAATACATTCTTAGGAACAGTCCTTCATGATTCTAACACAGGAGGTACTTGTTCTATGTTTCGAGAAACACTGGCAATGGCTGAAAGTTTAGACTTTTGAGACATAAAGTTACACCTTGCCTCCTAGCTCTGCCACTGATTAGCTGTATGAATTCTTTGGTTTCAATCATCTTCTAACCTCAGGTTCTTCATCTGTACTCTGGGAATTGTGAGAATTAATGAGATAAAGTTTCTGGCAAACAGTTAATTTAGGCTGCCTTAACCTGGAGTCCATGGGCTTGGGGTGGTTAATAGGAGAAGCCCTCACTGAAAATGTGTTGAAGGATACTTTCATCACAATCTTTAAGTAGCTGGGGCCACAAACAAGGCAGTACTTCCTCTAGTAAGTGCTTAATAATAATAGCTATTATTACTATTTCACATTCTGAGGGATTGTTCCACGTTTGGTACTATTCTAGGGCATATAGGGACATTCTACTCATTTTCTGGACATTGTTACTGGTACATTGAGTCCCTACCGAATGTGAACCTGGACTAGGGTTTTCTGGCCCCTACTTTCCTTCCTCCTTTCTTCCCGTAGGGATATTTGGCAAATCTTAGGAGAGGAGGTGGAGCAAAAATTTTCTAAGACTGCATAGTGCTGTAGGGTTGGATCTACAACTCAAAAGGCATATCTTTTTCCAGAAAAAATTGTCTTCTTTATCCTGCTTAGGATCTGCGTGCTACCTAAATCTGATCGTGTCTTTCAACAATTCAGAAAAATTCTCAATCTCTTTGACTATGACCCCTATCTCATGTTTTACCTTTCTTTCAGAAATTCCAATTGGATATTATGTATGTATTATGTATGTCTCATTCTAGCTCATGTCTTTTTCCATGTTTTCCAGATTTTTACCTTCAGTTTAACTTCTTTTATATTCTGGTAATTTCTTCAGATCGATCTTGTATTTCACTAATTCTCTCTTGAGCTGTAATTAATGAGCTGTTGTAACTGGAACACTGACTTTATAAACCTTGACAGTGCAAATATAACGAAATCAAGAGGTGGAAGTAT